ATAAAGAAGATAAGAAAAAAAAAAGCAAGACGAACGAGCATGTAATGTGTGTTTGACGACCTTGTAAGCCAGCGGCCGTATTATTGCAGCGTTCATATTAAGTAGGCAGTTATTTAACTGATCTATTAGACACGCCTGTTTTGGAACACAAGCATTCCTTGTTACCAAAAATAGATCCCTGGGTGATTGTATTTATAATAGGGAAACCGTGTCCACTGAGATATCATTCAAACGCTGCTAAAAAAAAAAGTGAACGCAAATAATAAGAGTCGAAGGCATAATTACAACAGGGAGCCATTGCCCAACTTTGTAAGGCGTGTTAACCTTAGAAAAAAAAAAAAAAACTTTTTATTTGTGTTAAATCGAGAACAGCGGCGCTTTTTAATAAATACTTAACTGGGTAACGTGTATTTATTCGCATAATACCCTGTGATATGCCGAATCATTTAGTAATTTTACGCTGAACAGCCAAGGGTGCCCTTTTCGAAGGCGAGCGAGCCACTAATTTAGCTCTACTGTTCATACTTTTTTTCCCTCAGCATAAGTATGCAGTGTAACTGGCAAGCAAGTCAAAAAAAAAACCAACACACGCATGATCAGTTTGGCAGGTTTTCATCCCATTACAAGAGGTACAGTACAAACAATCTCGGCAAGCAGTGATCGAGTTTTAAGAGTGCGGAGAACGGCCGCTGTTTCTTTATCGATTGGCGCTTTCTGAAGAGTCTTCCTTCTTGGAGAGGCAAGTTCGAGGATGGAGAGGAAAGAAGCGATACAGAAGAGAAGAATAATTATTTCGTAACCAAAACTGATAATACAAGAAAAGGCAGGTTCTCAATGCATTTTTTAAAATAAAAGAACACTTTTACATGGACCATGGAAGGGCAGTAGTAAAGGTCAAGCAAAACATTCTTGGACTAGGGCGTAGGAACACGTGAGCGAAATTTGAACATTATGACCAGATTTCTGTATGGGAAACATATCACAGAGTAATCAAATTGGGTTTTTAAAAAAGGGAAAAACTAAAACGTGTCCACTTTAACAGATCGCCTAATACGAATTATTTACTTCCTAAGCTAACAGGGCTAACATCAAGTGTATTTATTTTTATGGTTTAAAATGAAGAGTATTTACACGTTTGTAAGGCCCAACGATGGCGTATTTCAATGTCCAGACAGACTTTGATGTTTCCTCTTATACTTTAATCTCGAGAAAAAAAAACCCCACACTGCGTTTAATAAGACTATCAAAGGCGCTTGCGTAAACGGCGCCACAGGATACGTGGGCGGGGGAATGCTGCGAATCTAAACGGCCGTGGAAAAGTGAGATCCCTGTTTTTAAAAAAAATGTAGCAGCTAATTTGTGTCGGAGACAGTTGAAATACCTGACGGTAACAAGCGGCGAGACGTGTGAGGACAGTGGTTAGTTACACCTGAACGTCACAGCTACGGGAGCTATTTTACAACACCTGGTGAATTAGCTAGAACCCCGATGAACTGAAACGATTCAATGTTCAAGGCGGGATACGAAATTCGATTCAGGAAATGAAAACTAAAATGCACATCGTGGAAAGAAAAGTTAGGGGCCTATCGGGCTTTATAACAATTGATAAAGGCGCATCAAGGATTTTTTTTTTCCCATATCTGTAGTGGTTAAGTGTGTCGGGATTGTGGCCTAGATTACGATACTAACAAAAATAAAACTGCAGATAGTAAAAAAACAAGTTAATTAAAAAGTCTAGTGACATTTAAGCGCAATTTCCTTATGTTATCTAAAAATAGCTCTGTCGTAGCGTAAATCAAGAGCAGGATTAGTAAAACCATTGGTTAGTTATTAAAACGTTTTTTATAAAAAAAAAATTCAGTATTTTACATGTTTTATTTACAATAGAGTTACATGACTAAAAACCATTGCGCGCCTACTGAACGTGATGACGCAGCAATTGAACGTGATGGCGCAGCTATTGAACGTGATGACGCGTGTGGTGTGGTTGGAAAAAATGCCTACTAATTCGGTCCAAATTTTAATTAATTCAAATTTTTTTGTGTGACCGAACGAAAGGATATTTTTGAAATCTTTAACAATATTGTTTTAAATTATGGCAGGAATCGATTGGTACATGTTTCAAGTCGCTAAGTGGTCTGGTTGCCGAGATATGGTCCAAAAACTGTTTTTTTCGAGGTTTTTTGGCTTTTCCGGGAAATCCATGAAAGAAACCCGGAATTTTTATGGCCTATGTTCATCCTCGTATCTTGCTCAACATAATTGCTTTTGGAACTAGTCATCGATATTGCTTCGCTGAGGAGGAGATACGACTTAAAGCTGCGGACACACATCCATCCATCCATCCATTCATACATCCAGAAATGACGGGTTAATAAACGCAATTCTCCAGAATGGAAATTGCGCTAAAAAACATCGGATATTCCCCCCAGCTGTGTAATATACCAAAGTAAAACAACAATACAACACACGACACCTAAGATGCGCAAACAGATTGGGCTGCCTCGCCACAACAAACGTATCTAGTAGACCCGCTAACAGAATCTACTGTCAATAAAACCAGTCTATAACTGGCTTAAAAAAAAAGTCCCAGCCACCAAACCATTAAACTAAATGAAAAAGCTTAAGAGACAGCGACAACAAACCACGTCAAACGTTTAGAAAGTACAGCTTGCGTGATCGATATCTATTTATAAGATCTATATACACGTCAAGTCATTTCGCAACTGTACACGCATTAAATATAAACACTGAAGATGATATTTAAAGTATCAGCTGAGAGCAGGGGGGATAATAGGAGGGGAGAAAATCAAAAGTAAAACCAAACCTGTTATTTATTATAGGTTAGCGTGATGATGGAGCAAGCTTAAAAATGCGATGACTGGTAATGTTTGAAACCAGTTTTAATGGTGGCTTTTTATTATTATGGGTGCACACAATATTAGCGCTGTTGTAAACAGGGTGTAAAAATATGGAATTACAAATAAGATAGCAGCCTTTCCTTTAAAACAAGTATATTAAAGTTTGACTCTTAAACTACCATTTACAAGAGTATATAGCTGTTTTTTTCTCAACCACTATGTTACAGCTAATAGAAGAACAGATACATGAGAAGTACAACTATAACTTGGGTAAAGATTGGCTAGACCTGCCATTAGATTTTTATGCAACAAATGTATTCCTACATAAACTGAAAAAAAGGAGAGAAACCCTTTTAGGTGGGTGTCAAACTGGTTAGTCACAGCTTGGCTGTGCTTTAGACTGTAAAATATCTTATCTCTATATAGTGTAGATAATTAAAACCCTACACAAACATTTTCCCCCCAGTGGATCTTAAAGTAATCCTTACATGGCTTCACTGCCCAAAAACTACTCCAGAGATTAAAAAAAATGATCCATAACCAGGTGAGACCAACAACAACAGACATTTGAAAACAAGGACTGCCAAGCATTGTCAAATGGTTTAACACAAGGGTAAGATCAAAATATCCCAAGCTGTCCTGTTCAAGGAACCTTAATGGTTAAAGTAATGATAAAAAAAACACTGAAGCACAAGTTGTTTGCTCAACACTCTGTAGCACAGATGTCTAAACAAGTTAACTCCTACACAAATTCTGCTCTGACCAAGGGCTGGGCAGGCAAACAAAAACATTTGTTCAACCCAGCCCCTGTGTTACCTTTAAACTAAGCCCCTTCAAAAAGAAACATGTTCCTGTTTGATCAGGGCATTCTTTTAAAGAGCAACACTTCAAAAGACATGTTTGGGATGAAATTCCCATCTGCTAATCAGTGAAAGAATTTAAATTCTTACTAATAAGAATACTATCTACTACAAAAGTTGAAATAATTTTTATTTAGAATTAGAATTATGTTAAAAACATCAAGCTAGTGCCTAAAAAACATCTTAAATTAATGAAAACCTAAAATGATACGCTACTAATCTAAGTTAATTGTCTATAATAGCTACACCTCATTGATGCCCAACCAGTTCATATAAGAGACAATCTTAGTATAGCCTTCAATGGAAAGGATTTTATGCACCATAGAAGAAATGTTTGTCTGGAAATTAAAGTACTTATGAATCATTACAATGTTAAACAGGATTCTTCACTGCAAACAATTATTTTTATTTCTTTACTAACAGGATGGTAAAATATTCAAATTACCACTAAAAACTCATTACCTAACAGCAACATACAGATTGGATTTCAGTAAACATGTTTGCTTATTTGTCAGGTGTCAACCGTACATAGTTTATAATAGAAAGAAAGTAGGAAGTATAAAAAGTAATGGTATTATAAGTAAAACTAAGAATTTCTTCAGATTAATATATTTTCAATTAAATTAAAGACAATGGGAACACCTTTAACATCAAAGATTTGTTTTTGAATCTAATAGAATGAAACCATTTCTGAATAATTATAAATTCTACTTTTACATCATGTTAAACAGTTTAATTTTAAGCATTTTATTTACTTTGGGAAAAGGCAGCAAATGGTTAATTTGCCTTTAGCCTCAGAAATCAATATTAAAAATCTAAACGAACACAGTAAAATCTAAAACATACCTGCTCCAAGAATAATGTAGCTTTCAAGCATTATTAGCAGTATTGAAAAATATATAAATCGATATTGAGATTATTTTAAACAAATGGTAAGTTGTACACTGCTAACATCAATTTCTTTTTTTAAATAATGAACTTCAATAAATGTTAATTGCATTGAAATATCAGTTGCTGTTCTAAAACAAATAAATTATACTGAGATGTGCATGATTAACTTTATTATTTAGTGAAATATTTAACGAAGGGTTAAATAGTGTTATGTAAAGTGACCAAGTGTATCTTTTATTAAAACTAGATCCAATATAAATAATGTTATCTGATATCATTAAAGTACAACACTGAGGTTAAAGTGATTGAATAGTAGCAGACACCACACATATGTAAACAACAGAGCTCACAAGTTTACAAACAGAACCACAAACGGAGATCAACTTACACTTACCATGTGGATGGCCTCTGGGTAGATGTTCTCCGTTATCACTCCTCTGTTCTGGGTTACATACTCCACCATCTCATTCAGGGCCGCTCTTTTAACCTCCTTCCATTTTAAATCACTAAGTGGATCTTGAACAAAATCAAACAGTACACAACACTGACGAATTTTCTGAATAAACAATTCCTCCCTTTCTGCTGGAGTTGCATCTGAAAAACAAATAATATATCCTATTATAGGAAATGTTTGGGATAATAATATTAAGTATATTTATTAATTTATAATGTTTAATCACACTATTAAAATAAAATTAGCTTCTCAAACCACTGCTTAAAATATACAAGGATAATAACAATGTAGTAAAGTTAAAAACCAACAAACTAATCAATTCAGTTACCTTTGAGAAGCGGTAACTTTTGAAGCTCTCTATTCTTTGATATGTTAAAACGTGACGAATTCTGTCTTTTATCCCGCTTTATGTGTGGTGGCCCAGGGTACTTAATCTTGGCTATTGCAGTTGGTGGTGGATGAGTTTCTGCTGCATTTTGTTGCGCCTTCTTTTTGGAGGCCTAAAAATAAGGCACAAATATAGATTGCAAAACAAAACAAATGTATTTATGAATTTAATTGTGGTTATGCACTGCTGGTGTAAATTAATATGAATGAGTATAGACACAGTGAACTTGAATTTTGTTGGGACTTTGAACTAAAAAATTTAATTTTGGTTGGTCATTCAGGCACTGAGTATGTGGATTTGGCTAAGCAATAAGCACCTGAAGACAAATTCTTGGCGCGCTAGCTTAATAAAGGTGCATTATTATAATTCTATTCTTTCATGCTTAAGTTCTATAATCTTTGTTATGAGAACATTAGGAATATTTTTCATAAGTGACACAAGTGTCTATCTTCACAATGTGCTATTTCCACCCCCCTCCCCGAAAGGTTAAATTTCATTAGTATTGTTATCACAGATTTAGTGTTGCTGTTAGAATTAGGGCTGATTGTAGGGATAAAGCATTAGCATGTTATATAGTTTATAGTTTACTAGCAGAAATCCAGCAGAACCCAACAACCATAATGATATTCCACTTCACTTAATGACACTGCTGCTTTATCTGACACTGGTGTAATTATAAAATACATACACCAATTTCAGATAGGATCTAAGCTAAATTTTATTTTCATTTAACTAGATCTAAAAAAAATGTTTGGGAAATGCTGTGGAAAAGTTTCTTGTCTAAAACTAGGAACATCAATTACTTCCTTAAATGACAAAATATATTTAAAAATAATAGCCCTAGGCTAAATAAAAATCACAAATGGTCCAAAACTTCTTTAAAAGATCCAGAATCTAGCCTTTTCCTAACTCTTTAGAGTTTAGTGTTCTTAGCAGACTTAGCTAGAAGATATAGGGGGCCTAGACCTAAACCAATATAATTTTATTAAATATAGGGACCTAGGCATAGAGTTCTAGTTTAATTAATTATTTATAAGCCGAGTTCTAGATTTATTAAAATTGTAAATCTATAGGCCCCTAGGCCTATTATCATATTCTATGGGCCCTATAGAATATTCTATAGGGCCCAGGCCTAAAACTAAAATAGGCCTGTTTTATTCAATAAAATTATTCAAAATGCAATCAATGCCTGCTCTAGATCTAGTGCTAGTAGATTTAGACTTAAGTAATACTCTTATTTAGTTCTAAACTCTTAACTGTAAATCCCTTTTTAACTTTTTTTTAAGACTTCACTTAAGAAGTCATTAAGACACAACAAAAAGTGTAAGAAAGTAAGAAACCCTGCTACTGCTGCTAGACTAGATTAAGTAACTAAGACTACTTGTACTTAGACTAGGGTTTAAAATGTTACAAATGAATTCCATTTTAAACAAACAACCTTGAATATTACCTAGAACTCTAACATAAACAAAACACTGAGGCTATGCTTTTTGGCTCAGTAACTAAGATAATGTTTAGTTCCAACAAATAATGTTTATTTAGTGCTAGGTTAGGGATTCCGCCATGTTGGATTTTCTTTCCATAATGATCAAAGTAAATGGCCGCCATTCAACTACTCCCCGTTAACACATATTTACCTCATTTTCTCCATTGTCACCGGTCTCCTTACCGGGAGGTTTTGCATTGCCTGTAGCCTTCGTCGTCGTCTGTAATGAAAACTTATAGTAATAAGCTACTGAGAATAAATTAGTTGATGTAATTAAAACAAAAACTGCACGAGTTGTGTGCTAGATTCGAGTTTTTAACACTCGCGCCAAGCTCGCTATAGTGAAATCCACAACACTAAACTAGAACGAAAAATCCAAAAGAATCATAAAATAATGTGGGTGTTAGTTACTGTAATCTAATTAATTCGAACCTTTTCTTTTTTCGGTCTATTGGGCATGTCTGTAAAGAGTACGGATCCCCTGGAAAGGTTGGTACAGGGTTATCGACGTACCTGATTGCTTCTACGCTAAACAAGAGCGTCCATTGGTTGATTTATGTCACATGGTTTTTTTTTTCTTTTTTCAGACTTCCTGTCACAGACTGTATAATTATGTATCCTTATTATATTGTGTTTTGCATGAATGAAGAGTACCTGGCTAGCGGAAGGACTGTCTGAGCGATCGTCATGTGTTGTTTCATGCTTTTGGGTGAGATCGCTCATTGACGTAAGGGGAGAGAAAGTGGTGAATAAAAGGGAGAGCAAAAAGGTGAACGGGGGTTGTGTGCTAGAACTTGAACCTGAGGACTGTGGCTGTGAATGTAGGATGTTACTACGACACTTTGTTTCTTGACTGTGATTGTACTTATACCAGTTGTGACCATGGATTTACTATGGATCTATTAATTCTCTGTACAAAGTGTAAATAAAGTTATTGTTTCACAACTACTGTTGCTCGTATGAGTATATTGAAGAACCCACAATAACAACAAAGAATACATGTTGTTACATATGGTGTCAGAAGTGGAGGCAATAAAGTGATGTTGCTACATTGTATTACTGTTACATATGATGTCAAAAGTGGTTGAAGAAGTGGTGCTACTGTTACTGATTCTACTGTTACATTGTCAGAAGCAATTGAAGAAGTGATGTTGTTACATTGGTAAATTATATTGAAGTCTGAAATCGTCAACGAAGTTACAGTGTTACTACAAGTGATCAAGAATTGTCACATTATCATTGTAAGCAGTTTTCAACGTTTTTGAAGTGGTCTTCCACTGTTTACCAAGTACGTCAAGTTCTTGAAAGTCATCTATCTACACTCAAGTCAGAAGGGTTGCTGTAGTCAAGTCAGACGTCTTGTTCAAGTCAAGTCATCAACGTGATAATTTTTATCACCTTATTTCGATATTGTCTCACCAATGTCGAGTAAATATCGTCTGTGTGTTTTTTCTGTTTGGATTTAGCCGATCAAGTCTTAGTGTTTCTTTTCTACTGTTTGGATTTAGCTGTTCAAGTTTTTTCTATATGGATTAGCTGTTCAAGTTTTTCTACTGTTTGGATTTAGCAGATCAAGTTTATTTTTGTAACTGTTCCTAAACTGTTCCTAAAGATGTCTTATCTAAAACTGGACAAATTTCTACTCTGTAACAGGCTACTAGAACTATTTTGAATTTTTTCAACTTTTTGGAATCAACAAAGTGAACTATTTTTGTACTATATATGTACTATGAACTTTTCTTGGATTACTAGATGTCTCTAATCAACTGAACAAAGCCAGAATACAAGAAAGGGTATTGTAAATTAATTAACATTTATCTATTGTCAACTAATGAATTTATATTTTATGTCATAGAAAATATATCAAAATGTTATGTTTTGAAGAATATCTAGCACTAGCGAGGGCGCAAGGCATTAAGAAGATGAAGAAGCAGATAGCCTGGGCAAACACTCGATTTGACCGAGACATAGAAAAAGCATTAGAAGCATGGGACGAACAAAATGAACAACCCAAACGAGCTCATGGAAATGTATTGAGAGAACTAGATGATGTGATAGAAATAGTGTGTAATAAATCAAGAGGTATTACAGAAATGCAAGAAGAAAAAAAAATGTCAGATGGAGATAAAGTAGAGGAGACTGTACAACAAAAAGGGAAGAGAAAAAAAAGAAACAGAAAACAGAGAGCAGATAAAAGGGCTGAAACTTTGGAAAAACAAGTTGGCCTACATGAACTAGAATATAAACAAGAACTATTAGAAATGAAAGCTATAACAGACACAAATGAACCAAAATTAGAAAGTGAACAGACAGAATTTAAAGCAGAACTTGAAGAAGTAAATATTGGCAACCTTTGGAATGAAGAACAGAGTAACATAGTCCAGGAAGAATTGAAACCCAAGGATAAAACAGAGGTTGAACTTAATAATGATTTAAAGGTGACAGATACATTAGAATGTCTTAAGATTGACTCTTTATTGACTCAAACGCAGGTACACGAGAATATTATTGAAAGTTGTATCGTAAGTCCATCAGAGAATGGCAGTCAACAAGAAACAAGTCCATCAGAGAATGGTAGTCAAAATGATTTAATAAACCCATCAGTCAATGGCAGTGATGATTTAATAAGTCCATCGGAGAATGGCAGGAATCATGATAAACTAATGATGATTAATGAATCAGTGAACTTAATAAGCCACAATGAAGAGAACGTACCTATTGAAGATTTACTTCGAAAATTGGAGTCAAACTATAAAGAAGATATACTAGAACTCAAGGATAAATTTAACAAAGAAATGGAGAAATTAACCCAGAAATTTATGTGTGAACTAGAATCAATAAAGAAGCACAAGGAAGTTAAGAAAGATGAAACAGTAACTAGAAACTACTATGTCAATAAATTACAAACTGAAAGTAAAAGAAATTTAGCAAACAATGAATACAGTCAACATGTTAATAAGAATGTCATTAATGTCATTAATGCACAGAATGAAAGAAAAAGAAATTTAGCAAACTATGAATACAGTCACCATGTTTATAAGAAGCCAAAATCTAGATGTTTTTACTGCGGAAAAACAGGTCATTACCAAAATCAATGTTGGCATAGGTTGGCAAATCAGAGAAGAAACAATTATGTACAAAGAAAGTCATGTGGGAAATATAGTAATTTAAGAAAGAATATATCATGTTCTAATGAAAGATACCGAAGCAAGATGTATTATGAAAGGCCAAAGCAATGCCATAATATTTATATTGAGTTGGTTGATGAACCAAACGAACGTACACAAAGCAAGATAACTACTGACGTTGTTCAGAAACCAGAGGAGAATATTAAAACAAATGAAGTAACACAAGTTACACGAAATCTAGGAAATGATTATGGTAGCACAGCTAAAAGCTACAATTTGAGGGAGAGATGGCATACAGGTCATCGTCAACTGCACGAGAACGATTACTCATGCTATAGAGGGTGCTAAGATTAAATTATCAATTTACAGTTTATTAATATTATACAGTCTGTAACTGTAATATATAAATATCAAACAATTTGTATCAGTAATATAAATTGTGTACTATTTCAAAAGATTGTAAACTGTATTATGTTAAACCTATTCTATACTATTAATTAACAGTGAATAAAGTAAATCAAGTAAAAGTTAGAGACTATTATTCCGCATAACAATAAGACGGAAGTCTCAATGATGAATTGTGTGTTAGCCATACCTGTGAAAGGCAATGTTGTTGTGTTGTGACCTAGATTTGTCTGAAATGGGTCAACTAGGGGAGACAACAAAGTATATTAATCATGCGTCGTAATAACATGCCTTGATGCTAAGGAAGTTTTTTTTACCACATAGGATATAATTATTTAATTCATGAGTTGAATTAAGTCTTTGATAATTTCAACTATGTATTATAGTTTGGTAATTCACTAAACTCATTTGTCTTGTTTATACAATTACTTGGTAATTGAAATGTTTTTCTTTCTCATATTTGAATACATTACACATAATGCTTGTGCATTAGTCTACAAAGAATGTATTTTTCCATGTTTTTTGAGATGTATAAAAATTTTGTTGTCTGGCACATGATCCTGCCCTACCAATATTGTATTTATAAATTTTGTTACACAAAATTTTAATTGAAGGGGGGACGTGTCACAGACTGTATAATTATGTATCCTTATTATATTGTGTTTTGCATGAATGAAGAGTACCTGGCTAGCGGAAGGACTGTCTGAGCGATCGTCATGTGTTGTTTCATGCTTTTGGGTGAGATCGCTCATTGACGTAAGGGGAGAGAAAGTGGTGAATAAAAGGGAGAGCAAAAAGGTGAACGGGGGTTGTGTGCTAGAACTTGAACCTGAGGACTGTGGCTGTGAATGTAGGATGTTACTACGACACTTTGTTTCTTGACTGTGATTGTACTTATACCAGTTGTGACCATGGATTTACTATGGATCTATTAATTCTCTGTACAAAGTGTAAATAAAGTTATTGTTTCACAACTACTGTTGCTCGTATGAGTATATTGAAGAACCCACAATAACAACAAAGAATACATGTTGTTACACTTCCTTTTTATCATGTGACTTGCATTTCGCAGATTATTTTGAAAACCTCAAGAGACCCATCTTCGCTGGTTCAATTTTTCGTTTAGACATAGATCTAGAGTGTAGACTAGATGAAAAGAAGTATTTTTCGATGCAATCACTTACAATATCTACCTTTTCTCCGTGAAAATCTCAAAACCTTTTTTGTTCCCCAAGGCATTATCAGAGACGAACTGATATTATTGTTTTTCCACAGTGATCAGTTTAGCAGCTAGCAGAGTTTCTTCCAGGCATCTCTTCGGGGGGGGGGGGGGGGGGGTAAGCCCCCCCGAAAAATTTTTACCACCCCCCCCGAACGAAATGAAATTTATATAATTTATATAGAAAATATATACTTTTAACAGTGTCCGCCCCCCCGAAGAAAGTCTACCGCCCCCCCGAAAATTTCAAGTGCCCCCCCCCCGGAGAAAAAAGTCTGGAAGAAACACTGGCAGCTAGGATATTTGTATAATAATAATATGGTTCGACTCCAGGTTCGGTTTCGTCGTTGAATATAGTGGCCCACGTTTCAGTAGCGCATGCGCTTTTTTAAAACGAACGTAAGCGCCAAAGTGCTCTGGGGTAGTCCAGGGCGCTTCCTGTCACCCGACCGCCGGGGCGTCAGTGGATGCGCCTGGTGTAATTTTTACAGGTGACTCATGTAGTAACACTGCATGACCCCCTATGCACAGGACGATGTATAGATAGCAGCTGGGGAACTCATGGTGCCTCGTCGCACACTACCGGGGCGCCGCACCTCCGAAATAAAAAAAAATAAAAACTTTTATCGCATTAACTTTCCCTGTATTCTAATCACCTCGCCAAAGTTTCATAGCAACCGGATGGAATGTGATGAAAGGTGTAATAATGCATAAAAGACGCACAGACAGACATACTCTCATATATAGATTTCTAACTACTCAATTCATGAATCACGTAACACGTACTAATACTTAACGTCAGAGGCGTAGCGACCCTTCCCGGGGACAAACTTTCGATTCGCCCCCCCCCCCTCAAACTTTTGATTTGCACCCCCCTCGAACTTTTGATTTGCACCCCCCTCAAACTTTCAATTTGTTTTTTCCAACCCATTTTGGCGCCCCCCCCCTAAGGTCGGCGCCCGGGGACATATGTCCCCCCGCCCCTCCCCCCATCGCTACGCCTCTGCTTAACGTTATCACATTAACAGAGCGATATTATTCAGAAATCTAGAGAATATCAGAATGTCTTGCTCTCCATTTTCTACATTAGCGGCAAACGTAAATCCTTATTCTGTGATTGAAAGAAAAAACGTGTAAACAATTTATGTCGATGTATTCAGCATGCCATACTCTAGATCAGTGGTTCTTAACCTGGGTTCGATCGAACCCCAGGGGTTCGGTGGAGATCAAGACAGACACCCAACTCATATGATTCACGATCGGATTTTGTCAGTGCGGATAATAGAACTATTATTGTATTAAGATGGGTTCGGTGAATGCTTATAAGGAGCTGGTGGGATTCGGTGCCTCCATATTGTATTATGATATCGGTTTAGAACCACTGTTCTAGACCTATTTACGTATAAAGCAGACGTTTAACAAAATTAAGAATAAAGAAAATCCAAGAATATGTTCTGTAGTTTTGCTCTTCTGACGACATACACAAAACATAACTAAAAACTGAAATCACACATAGTAAAAGAGGCCATATGCATCCGACATACCAGCAAACTGGGAGGACATTACTCAATGTCACTTATTCCATGTAACCCCTCCCCAGCCCCCTCCCCACTCCGACCCCCAACCCCGAAAAAAAAAAACCGCAGTTCGATATTTTACCCCCTTGCCGATTACAATGACCCTAAACCTCTGTCCGCCTTGCTGCCCGATTGTAGTCAAACCCAGTGGCGTAGGCAGGGGGGGGGGGTTATGGGGAGTCATAACCCCCCATAGACCCCTCGGTATATAGAAAAAGTATGAGGGGGGTGCAAATCGAAAGTTTGAGGGGCGGGGGTGCAAATCGAAAGTTTGAGGGGGGGGGGGTGCAAATCGTTTGTCCCCGGGTAAAAATTGGACCCCCCCCCTTGAGACGATCCTGACTACGCCACTGGTCAAACCTTATAAACATATTTTACCCATTCCTAACAGCACGATATAAAAAAAAAATCTTTACAGATAAATGCTTCTCCTATGATAACACAAGAATAGGCCAATATACATTTAATTTCCCAAATAAACGTGCAACGGAAAGTTGCAAACAGAAAAAAAATTGCGCACAGAAAAATACACAAAGAGATTAATTTTCTTCACAGTGAAAAATGCGCATATGGATCAAGATAAATGCCGATCTATCAACTTTGCACCCCCCCCCCCATTTATTTCTTTATTTATAGATATTCCTGTTGTTGAAAAAGCCACCCCCCTTGGAATAGTTCTCAGCCTTTTACCAGTTACTATGCATTTTATTATGGTGTAACACATTTGATGTAGAAAACAGTTTTAAAAGTCCATTAATCTTGTAGTAGCAATCTATTATATATCTTCACCTCGACTGTGGATTAATCAGTAATGTAGCTCAGAATGAGCTTTTTAAAATATTATTTCTACCATGCCATCACCTCGCCAAGTCTCTCCCTCAATCCCACTCCCCTAAAAGAAAAACGATATCACAGTTTTGTATTAAAGTTTCTCATTCACAGCTTTGAATAACTCTTACATATAATTTCTATGTGCTTTCCATAATTTTTATTATAATGCAAAACGTATGGAGCCAACAAACCATGTCTCATATCCTAACCACCATCACCCCCACATAACTAACGTTGTAAGTCTTCATGTATATTGTGACACTGCCCCCCCCCCCCCAAATGACGTGTTACATAACCTTTCATTTTCATAGAGAAAGTTTCACATTTTTCAAGAGAAAAGGGCGGTAAGCAGGTAGAGCTACACGGGTTTTGCCATTGGATTATCGGGAGTGTTTACTCTTTAGTCGCTGAAACAACCTTTTTTTTTCTTTATACACAAGTTGATGATCTGCTTGTTTCTTGGAAACGTCAGTGCTCTCTCTACTAAGTGCGGCCTACGAGTTCTAGATCTAGATATAGATCTAGATCTAAATTATTCTAGATCTTTCTAGATACAGCAATCTATAGATCTACTTTACTTAGAAATCAGCAATATCAAAACAAATGGTTCATTTTTTAAAATGCCAATCAAGCTAATCTGACAGTAGTAATCTCACTCAACAATCTCATCTGGTAGCCTAGACAGACGGTAAACTCAATTTTTAAAATAAAAAAAAAAAAAAAAGTTCGGCCTATAATAAATAATATAAAATTACTAGCTAGATCTAGATTCTAGACTCTAGATCTATAAATAATTTATTAAAAATTTAGCTTAAAATTTATTTTTAGAGGCTATTGATTGATAATTGACATAATTGAATAATAATAATTTAGATTTTAGGCCTATAAAAAAATTATTACTATTACCGCCTAACTAGCCTAGATCTAGAATCTAGGCCCTAAGCCTAACTTTAACTTATTTATTACTAATATTACTAATTTTACTCTAGTAGTAGTCTTGTCACTCTGGTGGTGACTCTAGTGATTACTCATTACTGATGTCATTGTACTTTGTAGTGTCACTGCTAGGACTAGTCACTAGGTAGATCTAGGTAGTAGGTAGAGATAGCTAGGCATATAAATGTCTTTTATTCAATATTTACTGCCTATTTATTTAAAATTTATTATATTTATTAGCCTAATATTAACTAGGCAAATATAGATCTATAGCCTATTTATTTTAAATTTGTGAGTTTCCTGCACAGACTTGAAAAAAACCATGACACGCTTCAAGAAATCTTCTGACAAAAGTGGAGTTAAACTACAAGAAACTCAGCCAAAACCAGATTCTACCAAATCAAAAGTAGCCACAGTTGGAGGTGATCAACAGAAAAAAAATGCAACTTGCAGGTAACAACAATTATTTTTCTTTAACCCTTTCCTTGCGGTTAGTGTTTAAGTGTTTATGACAACAAATATCATAAAAAAGGTGAGATTTACACACTGATTAACCAGACATGTGTTTAGTTTTGTTAAGTCACTTGCTTTATATCTCTTCCCTTGATCCAAATAATTCAATTATTAACACACAACCAATTAAAATTTTTATAGAATTTGATTTCCACCAGATTTTTTTTACTGGAACAAGCAAATTTATCATTTTCACCTTTAATATTTGCAATATAATAGTTGTTTAATACAATGAGTATGATGTCATTTCAAGGACTAAGTATCATAAAAATACAATGGTAAACAACTTAAATTTTATGTCAAGACATACTCATGCATATAGAAAGGGTTAATACAAATTAAAAAAAAACTATGTTGAACATTATTATTTCTAAGGATTCATTGCTGTTGTTCTTTAAATATAACCACCTATTTTTCTTTACATGTATTTATTCACTATAGTTAACTAAGAGCATTATACTATATGTATGCTAAAAAAAACTAAACACAAGTGTAAATGGGTACAAACTAGCAAACACAATACTAAATTATATTTTCTATCCTAGAAAGATAATTAAACATCTGGCCTTGTAGTACACTTTAACCACCTTTTTTTTTAAAGAGTTAGATACAAACTACAAAAATATGATGGTAGAAAAAAAGCTGGACATGTACTGCCAATAGGAAGCAAAGTATTGAAGTTTAACAACTGTTACGGTGAACAAAATGTTTTTGTGGGGCAAAGTATAGGTATGGAATTTCATTTCTCCTATTTATATATATGTTTTAATTTGTCATTTATATAAGTTGTGATTGAAGTCATCATAATGAAATGTTGCTAAATAATATAATCTTTAAGTGCAATCTTATAAAACTCGCATAGTATTAAAATGTTATGAATTTAATAAAAAATTATTTAAAAAAATATTTGGTTCCCTTCAGGTGAGCACAGCAATGGTAACAGCATGGCTGCTGAGCTTGGTAACAGCATTCATGGTGGGATAGTGCTATCAACAGGACAGCTGGTGGTGGTGAAGAAGTGGGTTGTCAACTGGAAAACTGATAAAGCATTAAATCACGATCCCGTCGGGAAACTGCTTGTTCAAAAAGTAAGCTGCGATTATTTGTAAACTTATATTTTATTTCTTTTCAGATAAAGATGATATGAATAAAATACTTTGTTTATTATACTCAGAAGGCTAAAAAAAAACTATTTTAAAAAAAATCTAATTTTTTATTTCTAAAGTTTACTTTAAAATTTTATTTTATTTAACATTCACCTTTTCTGTTCTAAATAATTATATTATTATTTTTACTTTTGGTTGTTATGTTTATGTTATAGTTGTTTTAAATTTAAAATTGATATGTCACAGGTGTTTTTTATATCTTGAGGAACTTTGAGGTGATTTTTAAGCTGTTTCATTTTACAGTCTATTTTACTTGTTGTAATTCTTCTAATTTCCTGTTTTGTTTTTCTAATCCGACTAATGAAAGCACATTAATGAAAGATGTTAATGATATTTGTTTATCTAAACAAGATTTTCTTAACAAGGTTTCTTAATCTCAAGTCAGCTGTTTGAATTTACAAATGATCTCACTAGAATTTTGCGCACACATGCACATATGTTTAACAATGTGGGACACAATATATTGATTGAATTGCATCAGTTTTATTTATCTTCAATATTTATTCTAATAAAACATTTCTAAATGTGATGTAACACTTATATGGATTACTGATCTATTCTAATGTTTTTATGCATATCAACTTGATTTCATCACAGACATTTTAAATGTCCTCAATGGCAAATAAACATTTAAATTTAAAAGAAAAAGCTCAAATAAATCAGTATTTTGTTAATAAATGATTTTTAAAAACAAAAAACACTTATTTTTTCATATTTTCTTTTGTGTGTATTAGATTTTAGATATTAAAAGGGAGCTGACTTCATACCTGGGATTGAATCATCCAAACCTTACACGCTACTTGGGTTTAAATTATCACTGTCACCCTGGAAAAATCATAATATATGTAAGAATTTGAACAAAAATTTGTTACAATATATAATTAATGATAATTTAATTACCAGCTTATGTACTTCTACCATGGTGTTGGCTGGAAAGTTCACATAGTGGCTAGAAGTTTGAATATTTTTCTGTCTCTAAGCAAAATTTCTCAAATAGGTGTTTGAGCAGACTTGAAAAAATAAGGTTACTTAAAGATTACTTGTTTTTCTAAATCTTAAATGCCACTGACAAGTTTTTATTTTAAAAAAAAAATTGTACTCATGATCAAAACAATTAAATAACCTTTTAATAGAGATCTATAAAGATTTGATCATATATAAATGATCATGTTATGACAATGGATTGTAACTGAAATAATATTGTAGAGATTGATTACACTTACTAATAAAATCAAAGTAAAGTAACTTAATTTCTCAATATGTAATTCAAAGACCACACCATTCTCAGTTTTTAAACTCTTATTCCTCTGGATATGTTATCATACATTCCAATTCTTGACATCACTAGCTTATATAGCTGGTATGGTTAAAATGTTTCTTAAATAAAGTTTATGACTTAAGTAGTTCTTTACACTTATACAGATGGGGTTTGGTATGGTCAAGTTGGTAAAGCTCATGGTTGCAAAACTGAAAAGTCTAGAGTTGGAACTACAGGGCAGATTAGGCTAGATAGCTAAGGACAGCAACTCTACTAAGAGAGAAAACTCCAAAACCAAAAAACTGCTGCCTTGTAGTTTGTTCTTAGTTTTGTTCATAGGCTATGTAATCAAATCCAAAAAGATAAGCAGGCTGAAGAGTGAAGAATAAGAAACAATACTAATATGAATAAATGTTATGGGATAACATTGTCTTAAGGTTATTGTAACAAGTTGAAAAATAAAATGCAATGCACCCACTTTTTATCAGGCTATGATGGAGTATCATGGAGGGTCCAATCTTTCTGTACTTATGCGCCATTTTGGAAATCACCAACTGCCTTTAAACCTGCTGAAAACATGTACAGCTGAGCTGCTTCAAGTGCTTGAATACTTACATAGTAACTCAGTATTTCACAACAGTATTACAGTAAGTTATTTAAAAAATTACATGCTTGAATACTTACATAGTAACTCAGTATTTCACAACAGTATTACAGTAAGTTATTTAAAAAATTACATGCTTAAATACTTACATAGTAACTCAGTATTTCACAACAGTATTACAGTAAGTTATTTAAATAATTACATGATTGAATACTTACATAGTAACTCAGTATTCCACAACAGTATTACAGTAAGTTATTTAAATAAGTACATGCTTGAATACTTACATAGTAACTCCATATTCCACAACAGTATAACAGTAAGTTATTTAAATAATTACATGCTTGAATACTAACATAGTAACTCCATATTCCACAACAGTATTACAGTAAGTTATTTAAATCATTACATACTTGAATACTAACATAGTAACTCCATATTCCACAACAGTATTACAGTAAGTTATTTAAATCAACAGTCAGTTACTTGTAGTTAGGGACAAGATGTAGAGGACTTTTTTTAAAATAAGAAAATTAACATGAGTTATTTTTTGTATCATCCTAGTGATGTTTCATAATTATCAAAACTGTTTGTGACAACTTAAATTCTTTTAGGATATTTAATAAATCACCTGAAGTTGTTTTGAATTAAGCTCAAGATGTACGATATAGTTCAGTATTCTGATCAGCGAAGATTGAATTGGCCTGGAAAAATGGAAAAAGTGTCCATAAGACTCATTAAGTTGTATCACAGTGTAAACAGGCATAGTTTACTGCTGAAATTATATGCTTCAGATATTGGTGAAATTATACAAACAACCCACCTGTAATTTAAATTTTTTTATTCAAACTTTCTAACTAATAAGCTTGATATGTATATTTTGTTTCATTTATAATATTTATTTGTGTTTTTAAAAAAAATGTATTCTGTATTCTCTATATAGTAAAATTACAGCACATATCTCATATCCTACATTATTGGTAAACCACACAATTTCATTTACTGAAATGAGCTACTATGGGATTTTTTTCTTCCCCAGCCGTCCAACATTCTAATAGATCATGAGGGCAGGCTACACTTGACTGCATTCAGTGTTGAGAAAAGGTGAGGAAGCTCTTGGTGTTAAGTTTATATTTAAATCCTAGACACAAACAAACTGCAGTGAGTTTAAGACAATCCAAATATGTGAAGTAGAATATATCGTGCTTATATTTTAACCCTTGACTAAAATAATATACACATACAAGTATTTCCAGTTTTTTTTTTAACATTCTTTCTTATGGAAAAGATCTACAGATAAAATACTTTTCCCCATTTGTTTTACATAAAATTATTTTAAATTGTCTGTATTCTTAACCCAGAATTAATGAGCTGTATAGCCTAATTCAAACCCCGCAAAAAGTTGCTACTATTGAGATGGATCCTGGAAATCCTGCTAAAGACTTTCATCAACTTGTAAGTAATTGCCCTTTCTAAAATATTATTTTAAGATGGATTAATACAAAATAGTAAACTGTCTTTAAAGGTTTTATGGTCTAGAGGGCAGAGGAAGTAGAGTTAATATCTCTGTAAAGCTCTTATTAAAAAGTTACAGAAACAGTACGCTTGATTGAAGTTGGTTTTAAAGGAACTCAACAAATTATATTTTTTTAAATCGATTTTTTTTTCTTTATATAAATGTATTTGTTAAGGAATGGATACAATAATATTGTTTGTATTAAATGACAGGGTGCACTGCTGTCTACATTGGCATGTATCCATTCTGTAGCAGAAATTCCAGATACCTTTCCATCTTCCATGAACGATTTCTTAAATCTGCAAGTTATTTTTTATTTAATTAAAATAACTTTGTTCATAGAATAATAGAGTAAATAATTTATTTCTTACTATGGCCAGCTATTATTGCCAGCACATAGAAACAAGATAAAATTAAGGAGTAAGTTTCTAAAAGAAATGTATTATTAAAAATTTAAAGTAACCTTTACGTAAAAAAAAGCTTTTAAAGAAGATGGGAAAAAAAAGAAGTAAAGAAACTTTAACTAGCAGTATAATGCTGTTCTACTAAATTTATTAACCAGAGAAATTTCTGCAACTCTTATACATTGAGTACATTGTATTGGTGATTTTAGTATTGGTTTGACTTCTTGTGTCATAGTCAAAGGGAAATAATAAATGTTCAAACTTGAATTATTCATTTCTATATAGGCTGATAACACCTTATTCTTTAAGTTGAACATATTATAAACTTTTATTCAGATTTGAACATTTTTTTTTTACAAATATTTTATTGAAACTATACTTTCAGTTGTCTTCAGAAAAATATAAATAATCAAATGACTGCCACACAACTGTTAGATCACCCATTTTTGAAAGAAAGTCATTTAGAAACACAATACATCCAAGATAATTTTTCTGGTCAGTAAAGTTTCTTCTACACTTAGTAACTGTAGAGTTCCCATGTTTTGAATAATAAAAAAAAAGTTTTTCACTCAAAAAAAAAAAAAAAAAAAAAAAGGATTACAAGTTAAATTACTAATAAAAAAAACTAAGCCCATAAGATTAATTGCATAAAGCAGGGAGAGATAGCATCTTGAATTATTTTCTATGAAAGCATTATTAATTAAAATAAAAAAATATATAGGCCCTATATGCTTGAATTTGTTTTTTAACTATACCTGGAGGAATGTCAGATTAAACTAAAGATTAGATTACAGATAGCTGTCCATATTAAAGCTGTTTAGGAAAGACAACATTTATTGTATACAATACACACAGCATAATATTATCTTAATGACTAAAGGTTAAAGGTAAATGCAGTGGTAAATTATTTTTTACTGCTATTTTATTATTTTATCTGATTCAATGTAATTGTTTATTTTCTGAAATAAATATGATTGATTGTTATTATTTTTATTTTGAAAAAATAGGGAGGGCTAAAAGAAAAGCTGATATAAAAAGCATGGAAGGCTTGGAAAATTTTACGCTCCCAAAACAATCAAGAATTAAATCAGAATTTGAAGAGATTAAAGTTCTCGGAAAAGGTGGCTTTGGAGCTGTGTACAAGGTTTGCAAAATGCTTCATTAATTTTTCTGGTCCATATACCTTGTAAAAAGTTTAGTGCATGCTTATTGATTGAAAATTTGCATCTTTGAATACATTTTTTCTCCTTATGTGCAGGTGAGGAATAAAGTAGATGGAGGTGTTTATGCCATCAAAAAGATACCTCTGTCACAGAAAAGTTCCACTTTTAATGATAAAATCATGCGAGAAGTTAAGCTGCTTTCACAATTGAAACATGAACATGTTGTCAGGTATGTACAAATCTAAAGAACCTTATAAGTGGTATTGACCATTTATAGGCAAATAGAGTTTATCTGGGGTTGTTTAATCAGAGTTTTGTTATTTCCCCAACATTAGTGGGTTACCCATTATAGTTGTTATGTGACAGGGAACTTGAAGGCAAATAATCAGTTCTAATCAGTTACTTTTGTTTTAATTACACTGGGTGACTTAAATGCTGTTATTCTTCTCTAGCCTACCATTAGTTATAGTATTATCAGCCTTTTGTCCTTTAGGCAAAAATTAATTACATTAAGTAAACTAAAATTTAGTATGATTTATATTTACATTTATTAGATTAGACTTTGGTTTAATAATTACTAGAATTCCGTTAAAAAAAATAGATTTTTTAAGCTTAAATTTTGGTATAAGTAGTAATTGCATTTATTAAACTAGAATTTAGTCTAAATACACATTATTGTGAACAAGAAAAAACTGGTATTTTTAGTCACAATATTTGTCAATCATTTCATTAATTGCTATTCATAGCTTTAAAAACTTAAGTTAGCTTTCATCTATTTGTTCTAGATATTTTTGTTCCTGGATTGAGCACAGCACCGAGCCTCCTACATCAGCCACCCCACACAGCAGCCTCTCCTCTAGAACAGAGGAAGAGGTTGTTAAAAAAGACTCGCTTGTATTAGTTGGAGGCTGTGATTTATATAAGGATGTAGAACTTTTTTTACCACCGGTACAGGATGATGATAATTCTGATTGGTTACTTGAAGTAACAGAAGGTAATGTACTATTTATTGGTAAACCTCATTTCCTGAAATAATCTACTGTGTGATTTAAACAGTTTCCGTAACAAGGTTTCTTATCCTCAATTCATCAGCTTGAATTTATAAACGTGATCTCAATTGAACGTTCTTTGCATTATGAATATTTCAAAGATTTGTTCTGTTTCTAATTTTTCTTTACTGTATAAGCATTAATGTTTTTAATGTTAGTAATTTTCCTTGATTTAACTAATGATATTTCACAAGCTTATTAATATATAGTTATTCAATGTAAAAGAAATACATCAGAATGAATAAATTTGCATCACCTTTTTTTAATACAGATCCCAGAGAAGAAGATGATTCATCATCATCAAAAACACAGTAAGCTTAACTTAACTCTTCATTTACATTTCTTTTAAGTTGAACCTTAGTACAAAATATTTTTATTTAATAAAAAAGAAATTGAATTTTTAAATTTGTTTTGATTTAGGGGGGGGGGGTAATGAAATGGGATAAATGTGAGAGTGGGTGTGTGTAATATCCAGCTCCATTTAAATAAAAATTAATTTACTTTATGTACAACTATTAGTTTACTCTAAGAAATTTTATTCCATTTAATTTAACTTATTTTTCAGAAATAAAGATACTACAAAAAATAAACAATTGTCAAAAGTAAGTTTTTGATCCCAAAATTGATTAATGATTTATTCATAAGTTATTACCTTTTAAACATCAGATTTTTGCCTGTGTTTTGAGATTAATATACTTTATAGTTGACAAAGGTGTTTTATTTATTTTGACAGTATTGATTTTCACCAGTTAAACTTCTGCAGCTATTTAAAAAAAACCTGTTATAAAGATAAAATAGAACACAACGTCATTACTAACAATTTTAGATGGAAAACATCAACAGCAACACAGAAGAACCTGAAGTACAATCAGATGGTGAACATGTTGTAAAGATTCTTTACATCCAGGTAAATTTTCCAATTTTCAAATTATTTTTAAGGGATTCGTTTGGTTTTGATGGTAAAGCTCATGGTTGTTAAACCAGAAAGTCTCGAGTTCGAAAACCCAGGCAGTTGAGGCTCAATAGCTGGGGACAGCAACCCATCTAGGGAGAAACAACTCCAAATTGAACAACTACCGCCTTGTAGTTTGTTCTTGGTTGGACAAAGACTATGGAAGAAAGCCCAGAAAGAAAAGTAGGCTGAAATCTGAGTCAACGGCCTATATGGCGCATAACAAATTGACTTGTAATACTTTGTGTTGGAGGCCTTCCAACATTACAAAGAAGAAGAAATGTCATTATCTTTTGCCACTACTTATCACTGTTACCTACATTCAGAATTTATTAATCTGCTTTGGTTTTCATAAAGTAAAAGATTCAATGTAAAATATAAATGATTTGTTGTGTTTGATTATTAAACATACATTTTCTGACAGATGGAATGTTGTGAAGAAAGAACATTAAGGAACACAATAGATGAGGGCTTGTGTACTGACATGAATCGTGTGTGGAGGCTGTTTAGGGAAATTGTTGAAGGCCTAGCCCATATACATGACAAGGTAGCTTTTTCAGTAATAATCAAGACTGAAACATTAAAAAAATATCAACACTAAAGTATAATAAAAAAAACCTTAGGATATTTACACAGCTGATGTATGTTATTATTATTTTTTAGTCAGAATGTTATCTCTGCATTGTTTCGTGAGTTTTGGATTACCTTTTTGTGACATTCACCACCACACCCCACCCTCTCAATTTTCTGGTTGACTACTACGTGACAAACATTATCAGGGGGTATAAACAGAATGAGATAAACATTTTTGTTTATCACTTTAATTTAATTAGTATCCATTACCAGGAAATTATCCATCGTGACTTAAAGCCAGTCAACATTTTCTTGGACTCGTATGACCATGTCAAGATTGGAGATTTTGGGCTGGCAAGGACAGATAACTTCTCTAGAGTGAGAATCACATTTTTACTTTAAATAGATAGTTTTACTAAAACCATGAAATATAAACAGTTGAAGACCAATTTTTTTTTCAATTTTCTTTTTGACAAGTCTTGATTACAATAAATCAAATTTTTTTTTCTTAAATTTTTAGTTTTTTCTTTCTATAGGAAGGAGCTGCACCTCGGACACCGTCACCTGATTCCATAGATGGCAGCTTAACATGTGCTGTTGGCACTCGCCTGTATGTTAGTCCAGAGGTCATGATGCACTCTTTTCATTACGATCAGGTGCAGTACACCAAATTCTTTTATCATGCAGTCAGCTTGTTTTTAGATTTTGTTCAGATTTATATATCAACAATAATTTTAAAGATAAAAGTTAGTCTCAAATTTTTTTAAAACTGTTGAATTTTCAGAAAGTGAACTAACTCTAAAAATTAATTTTGTTAACATTTGAAAGAGATGAAAGTTTGTCTTAAATTGTTTAAAACATTAAACATTTCTTTTGAATTTTCAGAAGGTGGACATCTACAGTCTAGGCGTTATCTTTTTTGAGATGTGCTATAGAGCCTTAGCCACAGAGCATGAAAGGAATGACGTTTTGTACAAACTAAGGCAAGCTACTGTTGACTATCCTGTTGATTTCGATACAGGAACTAATCAAGTATGTTGTTATTACAAATACCTCTTGACATATTTTATTGTGATATTTGTTAACTTTCAACTCTGTTGTCAAAGAAATGTTAATTAAGTCTTTTAAGGGAGATCAAGAAAGTTTATGTTAAAATAACAGCAGCGCAATGCCTAAAAATTGGACAACTTGATACACAAATATTTTTTCTTTGTCTCATATTATGGCTATAAATTAGTTGTTTTTAATTCCTGGAGTGACAGAGGTTAAGTCTCAGTTGTCTATTTTTAGTACAGCATGATATGTTCTGATTATTTAAAAAAATATTCAGAAATTGAACAAGATTTAAATATTCTCATTTTATTAAAAAAAGTTTTAAGTTCTAAGTCAAATTACTTGTTAATCTAATTATTTTGTGTTTTTATATTTAAGTAAAAATTATCTTATGACAGGCAAAAGTCATCAGTTGGCTACTAAACCATGACCCCTCAAAACGTCCAACTGCCAAAGAGCTCTTGGCCTCCAAACTTTTGCCAAATGAGATCCTAAGATCAACATCACAGAGTGAACTGCTGGACTCACTCTTCAGGCAGGAAAACACAGATATACATGATGCAGTTTATGATCATTACATCTATGATGTAAATAGTTTTTTAAGTAAAAATGTTTCTATTCACATTATAAATGCTATTTTTTTTAAAATTACATACTCTTACAAGAATATAACTATTATAATGAAATTCTAATATTTAGCTCAGATTAGTTAAAAAAAAAAACAGCTTAAACTTCAACTGTTTAAAAACAATTTCAAAGCCAGTTTGAATTTTGAAATCATTGATATTTAACCTTTTCTATATTTCAGTAAGAGTTTTTTTTAGCCCTATTTGGGTTAATTTTGTGTGTGATTTCTTTAGTCAGTATTAGTTTAAATTTTTAGTCACTTATAAATTATTTCTGCATTCATTAGGAAATAGCAAAAAATAAATCTTGTCGAACCTTTTCACTATTTCAGTAAAAAATTATATTGACCCATTTGTGTTAATTTTTACTAGTTTAAATATTTCTCGCTCATTAATTAGCAAAAAGTGGGGAAAAAAAATCTCGCCTAACTTTTGCATGTGATTGAGCAGATAATGATCTCCTGGAGAACAGCCTTGCTGTACCAGAAGGTGAAAAAGTCCCTGACCTCTGTGTTTGCCAGACATGGGGCCATCAACATACCACTGCCACTTTTCATGCCAAAGTGTAAAGCACACAATAACAAACACCTGGTCACTCTCCTGGATAGGAAAGGGGGAGTAGTCTGTGTTCCTATAGACCGAAGAGTAAGATTTACTTTTAGCATTTGCTATATGTTAATTAATATACTCTTTTTTTTTAAATGTATAAATGCAATATTTATTTGAAGTCTATTCTGATAAAACTTTTAACTCAATTATCTTTCAATTTCTAGCATTTTGTCTGTATGGAGTGGTTACACTTTTTACCATTATAAATTTTCTTTTACACACATTTTAAAAAATCTCTAAAACCTATTGTACATATTCCTTACAGTTCAGACATAAAAATTTTTGTATAAAATATTTGTATTACATACTCATTTCTTCCTATTTTTTTAATACTTGCACATCCTTATGTGTTCTTAAAGCTTATTGTATTCCAACATTATTGCTGTAAATTTAACTTTAACATCATTCAAAAATGTAATCCATCAGGTGCCCTTTGCCCGCTACATTGGAAGAAAAAACATCCAATCCATGAAGAGATTTGCCATAGAAAAAGCACTGAAAGACAAGAAACTTGACAAGGCTTCCTACAGTGAACACCCCATGGAATTCACTGAATGTGTCTTTGACATTGTCTCTTCCAGCCAAAGGTAGGTAATTTTTATTTCCCTTTACTGTCTCATTTTAAAGCCTTTTAATATTTGTTTTATGTTATTGTAGTATATATTATAAAACACATTTGGTCTTGTTTAGTTTTTATTTCAAAAAAATATTTTTACATTCAACATTGAAATTTTGTTTCTTGTTTTTTTTGTTTATTAATTAGCGAATCACTCTTTATTTATAGATTTAAAAGCATTTTTTACATAATTGTGCTTAACTTATAAATGATTTCCTATACCTTTTCTTGATTTCAGTGTTGTACCTGATGCTGAGGTTTTGGCTGTTGTTCAAGAAATTATTCAAATGTATCCTACTCTGCAGGTACTCAAATTTTATTTTTTACTTAAAGTAAATTTTTTTAACCTGTGAATAACTACAACTATGTTCTTAAACAAATAATGCTGACTATACAAGCCTTTATTTACCATACATAAAGTAAAGTTTCCCTTTCAAACCTGACGCTCTATGGGGCAAGCGAAGTTGAGTTCACTTGTTTCTGTGACCTCGGTATATGAAGAGATAGTGTGGTCAGCACTATGCCCAGCCGCCTAAACTTTCCCTAAAGTTAGGTACCCATCAGAGTTATTTACCATACATATCCACAGCTATATTTAAATTAAATGAGCCTGTTTTGATTTTTTAATCAAATAATTATTTGATTATTTATGCAATTATTTGTGTTTTGATTGTATTGTATAAAATGAGTACCATTGAAACAACATATAAAAACTACTAGATCAGTGCTTGTAAATGAAACTTTTTTTTTATTTACAAAATAATTTTAACACTATTTCTACAACTTATTTAAGGCTAGAAAGTATTATGTTAGGATCAACCACATGCAACTTCTCAAAGCTGTGCTGCTGCATTGTGGGATACCAACAGATAGGCACACAGAAGTTCTTATGGCAGTGCTAGATCATGTAAGTCTAGAGCAAAAAAAATTTTCAAGTTTCTTGAGATAATTAGTTAAGGTAATTGATAGGAGATTTGTTGTGAAAAAGAATGTTTCTTTAAATAAAATGTTTTAATTAAAATGGTTAGTTGATTACAAACAGCAGCAATAAAACTGTTCTTTAATTACTTATTAAAATAACCAAATATAAAAAAGCAATTCAAATATGGTTTTGTTATAATTAAAAAAAAATGTTTTCTTTAATAAAAGCAAAAATTAAACTGAGTATTAAATTTAAGTATTTAATCTTTTTGTAGAGGAATAAAATAAGAAAAGATCCAGCTGTTGAGGAAGCGTTGGTCCAACAAATAATTCTAATTGAACAACTGTTCAGGATTGAGAGTGGGATGAACAAAATGAAAGACAAATTTAAAACCCTCTTAGAAAGTTCTAATGAAGAAGTAAGTCAAAACGTCTTATCACAGTGTTCAATTATTGTGTAAAATGCGAAATTAATTAGGATAGTTTTAATACCGGCAACTTTTTAAGTTGACAAATGATAAGTCTAAATTTACCCCCACCAGATATTAAATATTGCAAGAAATAGAGTTCAAGTAGAGGTTAAGAAAAATTTAATAACATAGTTTTGTCAAACAACCAGCTATGAAGCCTACATAAATTCTTAAATTTGTTTTATTGAACATAATTCTAACAAAAATGAACACGTTTTGCTTAGCATTTTGTGATTTTTCTTCAGGTGAAGACTTTAACTACAAGGGCTTTAAGTGAAATAAAGAGAATTTATACATATGCAGTTAAAATGGGTTTGAAAATGCAGGTAACATCTAACACAGTAAAAAAAAAACATAATTAAAGTAGTAGTATGTTTTAAACATTCTCATTTATTTCAGTTTACAATTATTGCTGTAGATCTTTTTTCACATTTATTGTATGCTATATACAACTCATAGACATTTTTTTCTTGACGTAAGACAATTTTATGTTAAGGACGTATACAATATTTGTAGTTTATTTTATTAAATTTTCATAAAACCTTTTAGTGGTTTCTAACAGTTTCTATTGTAGAGGTTTGTAATGATTTAACTGTTGAACTTGTCTAGGTGAAAATCACATTAGGCCTTATTTACAAGCCAAGCCTGTACTCTGGTGTCATTTACCAAGTCATGTGTGATAAAAAGAAGATGGGAAAAGTCGAGACTGAGGTTCTTGCTTCAGGCGGACGATACGATAAGTTGGTAAGCTCAGACTTCTAAAGTAAAAAGTAAAGTTCCCTTTTTGAACCTGGCGGTCCATGGGGCAAGTGAAGTAGTGTTCATCCGTTTCTGTGACTTTGGCATATGAAGGGATAGTGTGGTCAGCACTATGCCCAGCCACCTTTACTTTCCCTAGTGTGAGTTAGGTACCTATCAGAGCTCAGTGGATTCAGGTACGTTTGACTGACTTGAACCCGGGTTTGAACTTTAGACTTTTGGCTTATCAGTCTAGTATTTTACCGTAAGGCATTACCGCTTCATAAGACAAGTGTTGCATGAAATAGTTTCAAAAACTGCAAAAAGTGGTAGGACAATGTAGAGAGTTTGGGTGGATATCCTATGTTCCTCAAGTAACCAAAAGGAATAATGATGAAAAACATGAAATAAAATTCTTCTTAAATTTAAAGTTAAAAAATCTCTTTTTATTTACAGATTAATTTAGCAGTTTCTACTTAAACTATTTATATATTATTTATTAATATTTAGGTCTATATCTTTTTAGATCAGCAGCTTTGTTTACCAGGAAGTACAAACCCATCCTTCTGGTGTCGGTATTACAATATTATTAGAAAGATTAGCGTTTTTGGTTGCTGATGATGAAAAGGTAATAATATTTTTTTAAGGCTAAATTAAGAAAGAAAATTATAAATATTATTTACACTTGATTAATTTTTTTCTTTTCTTGGTAAGATTAGTCCATATATGACATCTTTGCCTTGTTATCTCCCAACCACACTATTTTCACAACCCATCATCACATAGGATGTCAAGATTCCATGCACCTCCCCCCCCCCCACACCACATTTACTTAATTTTTTTTAAATAAAAAAAGTGCTGTTACACTTGTTAATATAACACTCACCCCAATGTAGTAACATTATCATAAATGTATGAAACACCCTTATTATTTTTGTTGTGACGATCCCTAAACGCTTAGCTCATGATTTTTAAGCTGAAAGCTTATGCATTTTTTAAATGTATCAGATTCAAAAGTTTTCACCTTGTGATGTGATTGTGCTGGCCACCCATAAGCCGTTGGTTCCTGGCACTCTGACAGTGGCTAAAAGTCTTCTGGATGCAGGGTTTAGGACAGATATTCACTATGACATCACTGAGGTAAACAGGTCTAACATGTTTACACTTAAGATTGTTTCTTACTCTGATAATGTATTGTTTTTATTTTACCTATCTTATAATGCATATTTTAAGTAACTAACCGAAGACAGGCCTGAAACTTAAAATGAAAGCTAATGTTTACTGTCTGAACTCATATATTTTTTCACATAATAAGTCATTTATTCCGAAAATCCATCCTCCCCTTATGCTACATTTAAAATTTGCTTACCAAAACATTTAATCCTATCTCATTGTATGGTGTAATCATTAAATATAATGCACATATGTATTTATTTGCACCATAATTTTATCATAAAGGAACAATACATTTAAAAAAAATAATAATTATGTTTTGTTTGGGGCTTATTAACTTTTTACTGCATATTTAATGAGGGATCATGCATATATTGAATAATTTGGGGTTAGTGGGGTGGTTTATAATTTTGTTATATTGTGTTCAATGGGGTAGAGTGGTGGTATAGAACAATGTTATGTCACATGGCCTTTCATTTACTTTATGCTTATTTTTACAAGTTCTGTTAGATAGGCTGGATTAAAAATAATTTTCTTTTAAACACAAAGTACTAAATTCCATTTAGTTTTGAAAAAAGTGATGTTTGCTAGAATGAAGTGATTACCATTATTTGATAATTATTAAAAAAGCCACCTTTTTTGGGTACCGTATTGTGTAATATTTTGCATGTGTATGTGAGTGGGTTTAAAATTTCAGTGTTTTATTTATGTAACACTAGGCATACTGCCTAGCTTCGCTTAGGTTTTCAAAAACATTTGATAATTTGAATAATAATTATTAGGTGATGGATGAGGCGTGGAGTGCTTAAATGTAAACAGTAATGCTAATTTTAGAGAAGCTGTTGTAGGCCTATGCTCTTTAACATCAGCTTTCAGAGAAAGTGTTTGAAAGTACGCAATTTATAACTAAGATGGAAATAGAACTACAGAGGTTCCATGAACAGTATATCTCATAATATATATTACATTGACTTTTAAAATTAATTTTTTATTTAATTATGATACGTAGCTTAATTAATAACTTATTTTTATCTACAACAAATGCCATACTTTGTCGTTTTCTGTTTCTGTTTAAAATAGTATACAATTATTTGAAAAATAATTATTTAAAAAGGTTACCTCCCTTGGAAGTTAACCGAATGACGCATCTCTGTGTTTACTTTTTTTTTAAACAAACAGTTACTATGCTTATATAAGAAAATACGATATATAAACATATTTAACGACTACAATAGCTTTTTCCGACGGGATTAAAGTTTTTTTGTTACCCTCCAGGGTCGGTCTACGACCTCAAATAATATTAACGGGATCGATCGTCAAATTATTTATATATATCTCATATAAGGAGAATTTCACTCGCGGTCATCTTTTAGCACTGGTCGAGGGCTTTGAGTCTGACCAACAGTTTTTCCATACGGCCTAGTCATCTATAGAAGTGTATGCAAAACATTAGCATGATGTACAGAGGTTAAGTAACGTAAAAATTGTGTTGAAATTACCCTGTTTTTTTCCATAAAATACAAAGATTATATAGGGAAATACGACTGGTCAGTTTTGACCCCTTTACGAAGTTTTCCCAGATATGCCGAGTTTTTTGTGACACCCCAAGGCGTTCTCCTACCACCTCACAAAATATCAAGGGGGGTCGTCGGAGGAAATTTTTTTTCGTAATAGAGCTCATATAAAGAGAATTTCACTCGCGGTCACATTTTAGCCCTCGTCGAGGGCTTTGAGTGAAACCGACAGTTTTCCCTAAAGGTCAAGCCATTGACCTAAGAGTATGCAAAAATTTAGCCAGATATACTGAGTTTAAGTACCCTAAAGCCTGCGTTGAAATGACCCTCTGTTTTTCCAATAAAATACAAAGATTATATAGGGAAATACAACTGGTCAGTTTTGACCGCTTTACGAAGTTTTCCCAGATATGCCGAGTTTTTTGTGACACCCCAAGGCGTTCTCCTACCACCTCACAAAATTTCAAGGGGGGTCGTCGGAGGAAATTTTTTTTCGTAATAGAGCTCATATAAAGAGAATTTCACTCGCGGTCACTTTTTAGCCCTCGTCGAGGGCTTTGAGTGAAACCGACAGTTTTCCCTAAAGGTCAAGCCATTGACCTAGGAGCATGCAAAAATTTAGCCAGATATACTGAGTTTAAGTACCCTAAAGCCTGCGTTGAAATGACCCTCTGTTTTTCCAATAAAATACAAAGATTATATAGGGAAATACAACTGGTCAGTTTTGACCGCTTTACGAAGTTTTCCCAGATATGCCGAGTTTTTTGTGACACCCCAAGGCGTTCTCCTACCACCTCACAAAATTTCAAGGGGGGTCGTCGGAGGAAATTTTTTTTCGTAATAGAGCTCATATAAAGAGAATTTCACTCGCGGTCACTTTTTAGCCCTCGTCGAGGGCTTTGAGTGAAACCGACAGTTTTCCCTAAAGGTCAAGCCATTGACCTAAGAGTATGCAAAAATTTAGCCAGATATTCTGAGTTTAAGTACCCTAAAGCCTGCGTTGAAATGACCCTCTGTTTTTCCAATAAAATACAAAGATTATATAGGGAAATACAACTGGTCAGTTTTGACCGCTTTACGAAGTTTTCCCAGATATGCCGAGTTTTTTGTGACACCCCAAGGCGTTCTCCTACCACCTCACAAAATTTCAAGGGGGGTCGTCGGAGGAAATTTTTTTTCGTAATAGAGCTCATATAAAGAGAATTTCACTCGCGGTCACTTTTTAGCCCTCGTCGAGGGCTTTGAGTGAAACCGACAGTTTTCCCTAAAGGTCAAGCCATTGACCTAAGAGTATGCAAAAATTTAGCCAGATATTCTGAGTTTAAGTACCCTAAAGCCTGCGTTGAAATGACCCTCTGTTTTTCCAATAAAATACAAAGATTATATAGGGAAATACAACTGGTCAGTTTTGACCGCTTTACGAAGTTTTCCCAGATATGCCGAGTTTTTTGTGACACCCCAAGGCGTTCTCCTACCACCTCACAAAATTTCAAGGGGGGTCGTCGGAGGAAATTTTTTTTCGTAATAGAGCTCATATAAAGAGAATTTCACTCGCGGTCACTTTTTAGCCCTCGTCGAGGGCTTTGAGTGAAACCGACAGTTTTCCCTAAAGGTCAAGCCATTGACCTAAGAGTATGCAAAAATTTAGCCAGATATACTGAGTTTAAGTACCCTAAAGCCTGCGTTGAAATGACCCTCTGTTTTTCCAATAAAATACAAAGATTATATAGGGAAATACAACTGGTCAGTTTTGACCGCTTTACGAAGTTTTCCCAGATATGCCGAGTTTTTTGTGACACCCCAAGGCGTTCTCCTACCACCTCACAAAATTTCAAGGGGGGTCGTCGGAGGAAATTTTTTTTCGTAATAGAGCTCATATAAAGAGAATTTCACTCGCGGTCACTTTTTAGCCCTCGTCGAGGGCTTTGAGTGAAACCGACAGTTTTCCCTAAAGGTCAAGCCATTGACCTAAGAGTATGCAAAAATTTAGCCAGATATTCTGAGTTTAAGTACCCTAAAGCCTGCGTTGAAATGACCCTCTGTTTTTCCAATAAAATACAAAGATTATATAGGGAAATACAACTGGTCAGTTTTGACCGCTTTACGAAGTTTTCCCAGATATGCCGAGTTTTTTGTGACACCCCAAGGCGTTCTCCTACCACCTCACAAAATTTCAAGGGGGGTCGTCGGAGGAAATTTTTTTTCGTAATAGAGCTCATATAAAGAGAATTTCACTCGCGGTCACTTTTTAGCCCTCGTCGAGGGCTTTGAGTGAAACCGACAGTTTTCCCTAAAGGTCAAGCCATTGACCTAAGAGTATGCAAAAATTTAGCCAGATATTCTGAGTTTAAGTACCCTAAAGCCTGCGTTGAAATGACCCTCTGTTTTTCCAATAAAATACAAAGATTATATAGGGAAATACAACTGGTCAGTTTTGACCGCTTTACGAAGTTTTCCCAGATATGCCGAGTTTTTTGTGACACCCCAAGGCGTTCTCCTACCACCTCACAAAATTTCAAGGGGGGTCGTCGGAGGAAATTTTTTTTCGTAATAGAGCTCATATAAAGAGAATTTCACTCGCGGTCACTTTTTAGCCCTCGTCGAGGGCTTTGAGTGAAACCGACAATTTTCCCTAAAGGTCAAGCCATTGACCTAAGAGTATGCAAAAATTTAGCCAGATATACTGAGTTTAAGTACCCTAAAGCCTGCGTTGAAATGACCCTCTGTTTTTCCAATAAAATACAAAGATTATATAGGGAAATACAACTGGTCAGTTTTGACCGCTTTACGAAGTTTTCCCAGATATGCCGAGTTTTTTGTGACACCCCAAGGCGTTCTCCTACCACCTCACAAAATTTCAAGGGGGGTCGTCGGAGGAAATTTTTTTTCGTAATAGAGCTCATATAAAGAGAATTTCACTCGCGGTCACTTTTTAGCCCTCGTCGAGGGCTTTGAGTGAAACCGACAGTTTTCCCTAAAGGTCAAGCCATTGACCTAAGAGTATGCAAAAATTTAGCCAGATATTCTGAGTTTAAGTACCCTAAAGCCTGCGTTGAAATGACCCTCTGTTTTTCCCATAAAATACAAAGATTATATAGGGAAATACAACTGGTCAGTTTTGACCGCTTTACGAAGTTTTCCCAGAATTGCCGAGTTTTTTATGAAACCCCTAGGTGTTCTTCTACCACCTCACAAAATATCAAGGGGGGTCGTCGGAGGAAATTTTTTTTCGTAATAGAGCTCATATAAAGAGAATTTCACTCGCGGTCACTTTTTAGCCCTCGTCGAGGGCTTTGAGTGTAACCGACAGTTTTCCCTAAAGGTCAAGCCATTGTCCTAGGAACATGCAAAAAATTAGCCAGATATACTGAGCTTAAGTACCCTAAAGTCTGCGTTGAAATGACCCTCTGTTTTTCCCATAAAATACAAAGATTATATAGGGAAATACAACTGGTCAGTTTTGACCGCTTTACGAAGTTTTCCCAGATATGCCGAGTTTTTTGTGACACCCCTAGGTGTTCTTCTACCACCTCACAAAATATCAAGGGGGGTCGTCGGAGGAAATTTTTTTTCGTAATAGAGCTCATATAAAGAGAATTTCACTCGCGGTCACTTTTTAGCCCTCGTCGAGGGCTTTGAGTGTAACCGACAGTTTTCCCTAAAGGTCAAGCCATTGTCCTAGGAACATGCAAAAAATTAGCCAGATATACTGAGCTTAAGTACCCTAAAGTCTGCGTTGAAATGACCCTCTGTTTTTCCCATAAAATACAAAGATTATATAGGGAAATACAACTGGTCAGTTTTGACCGCTTTACGAAGTTTTCCCAGATATGCCGAGTTTTTTGTGACACCCCTAGGTGTTCTTCTACCACCTCACAAAATATCAAGGGGGGTCGTCGGAGGAAATTTTTTTTCGTAATAGAGCTCATATAAAGAGAATTTCACTCGCGGTCACTTTTTAGCCCTCGTCGAGGGTTTTGAGTAAGACCGACAGGTCTGCCCTACGGTCAGGCCATTTTCCTATAAACATGCCAAAAATTAGCCAGATGTAAAGAGGGTAAGTGCCCTAAAATCCGTTTTGAAATGACCCTCCGTTTTTCCCATAAAATACAAAGATTATATAGGGAAATACGACTGGTCAGTTTTGACCCATTTCCCGATTTTTCCCGGACATGGCGAGTTTTTTGTGACACCCCAAGGCGTTCTCCTACCACCTCACAAAATATCAAGGGGGGTCGTCGGAGGAAATTTTTTTTCGTAATAGAGCTCATATAAAGAGAATTTCACTCGCGGTCACTTTTTAGCCCTCGTCGAGGGCTTTGAGTAAGACCGACAGGTCTGCCCTACGGTCAAGCCATTTACCTATAAACATGCCAAAAATTAGCCAGATGTAAACAGGGTAAGTGCCCTAAAATCCGTTTTGAAATGACCCTCTGTTTTTCCCATAAAATACAAAGATTATATAGGGAAATACGACTGGTCAGTTTTGACCCATTTCCCGATTTTTCCCGGACATGGCGAGTTTTTTGTGACACCCCAAGGTGTTCTCCTACCACCTCACAAAATTTCAAGGGGGGTCGTCGGAGGAAATTTTTTTTCGTAATATAGCCCATATAAGGCGCCGGTCAGTCGAGGTCAGTTTTGACCCCTTCTCCGTAGACTTTTCGGCCAACCGTCACCGGCCTTCGTGTTCTATTGCCCGAAGGCACCATCGTGCCAAATTTGACGCGCCTGCGGCGCCGGGAAGTGCCCTATCGGGCACTTGACCACTTTGCTTTATATATATAGATGTGCATGAACATATATATATATTGAAAAATTCTTTATTACCAAATTTTTTTTTATATTTCTTGTAAACCAATCCGAATCTGTAATTAATTTTAATACAAATTAGAAATTTTTTTTTTTACGTTTCAGAATAACTTAGAGCTAATTTATACCAGCCAGTTTAAAGGAATTTCTTACATTGTTTATCTTCTAAAAGCGAACCCATCAGCAGTTAAGGTAAATATTTATAGTTGAATGAAAGCATTGTTTCTGTTCATATTAAAAGTTATTTAGTTTATATTGTTTCTGCTGAAAAGTAAAAATTACGTTATTATTTTAATTTATTAAGTTACACCATATTCATTTAAAAAATTTAAAACACAAACTAAATATCACACAACTAACAAATCCAAGGTATTGAAAAAAATTTGTTTTATGATAATGGAAAAATTTTTTGTTTAAACTTCTGATTAACAGTTACTTTAAACATACATAAACAAACATTAATTTAAAAAAAAAAAACAAGATATAAGTTGGAAAATTATATTTTCATCAATTTTTGCTTGTATCCCAACAATAGTTTAATAATTTTTTTTTACTCAGGTTGTCTCCCTGGACAGGGAACCAAAAACATCAATCATTGTGAAAACAGAGTTCCTCATTGATTACCTCAAGCGTGACAACACCTCAGCTGCTGTCAACCCAGCTGATCCATTGACCTTCAACCTTTGGAAGGATATCTACTCTATGGACACATCATGGACAGATATCTAAAACCTCTGAGTGGTAGCCAGGTGGATTAAAACTAAAAAAAATTTTAACATTATCAATCTGAACTTTAGCAGGTGTCATCTTTAGCAACCAACTGATGCAGCACCTAAAATCTAGTGAAACGATTTATCAAATGAAATATTTAGTTTAGTAAAATGTAACAGTAAAAAAAATTATATCGTTGATACACAAAATAAATTTGTGCTTGTTTAACAACCAATTAAATAAACTTTTTTATTGTGTACAACAGTAGTTTTTGTTGTTAAAACAATGCTCAGCATTTACATTTAAAACAAGCATATATTTGTTTTCATTTGAATGTTTATTTTGCAGAACATATTGTTCTTTTATTTTTTTGTATGTACCGGTAATTTGAAATATAATTTTTCCATGTAATTTATAGCCATGTTGTGTACCATTTTAATTTAATGTTACAAAACAATTGACTGAGTTGTTACACATGGCTATCTGCAGTTTTTGCTTAACTTTTATTGAAAATTTTTCTTCTATTCTAAAATTTAAAAAATAAGATCTGTTAAATATGTTATGTATTATCATATTGCCATTTTATTTTACCACTGTGTAACACAAACCTTAGCTGGAGCTAGAACTTAGCTAAGCAATTACTCTCAGTGGAGCAGAATTAGCTACAACATCACCGACTCATAAACTTTTTTAACACTTTTTATAGCACATAGTTTCCCAAACTTTTCAAGTTTGTACATATTTTCTTTAAAGAAAAAATACAATTTTGTAAATAAAATAAAAAGTTTAATCTCTTCAGCTTCCATTCTGGTATTTGAAAGTAGCTTTTTTAAAATTATGTATTAAATATTTTCTACTTTTGTTTTGTCAATGTGCAATAATTAAGCCATACTTTACTATTGTTTACTTTTATTTCTAATTTATTTAATTTTTTTTTGTTTATGTTTTTACATATGATGGAAGTATTTTAGTCAAGCTCATGTCTACATTATTTTTACATAGACTTTCCTGCAGTTGAAATAGATCTATGGCCTATCCAGATTGGCGAGTCTTGTGTATCATAGTTTAAAAAAAATGTGTGTTATTTTAGATGTTTTCAAGCATGTTATGAGACAGGGACCTCCCTTTTAGCACAGTACATTATGAAAGTACAAACATACTTCACTTTTATTATATGTATATTTTCATTTATTAAGTGATTTAGCACTTTTGACACAACTAAATGGTTAAATTGTTACATTAGGTCTACATATTTGCTGAACCACATGCATCAATGAAAGGGAAAAAAAACCTACACTTTTATAAATGTTTAATATGTGAACAACAGCTTCACCAGTGATTTCATTTGATTATACACACTACACAGCCAAAATGAGAAGTATTTATGATAATAAATGTACCATTTAACATGACAAAAATTTCATGAAAATAAACATTTGTTAATGTAATGAATTTGGTCTTTGCGTACTGTTTAACTAGTCATTAAAAATTAAACGGATTCGAATCTAAGAGGAGATAACAAATTAAATCACATCGTCGATTACTCTATTCATATCAGAAGGGGAGATATCTATATAGACGCAATCACCCTAACAGTCTGGTGAGCTTGTTGTTTATGAAAATGTTTACAATCGTAAAGCCATTCGATCTGGTGAAAGCTATTAGGGACAGATAATAAAGTTTTTAAACTATCTGAAAGTAAGGGAATGTATTAATATTTTGATCTATCATTCGCTTGATCAGCTGGCTGTTGTCTGTAAATTGTGATCATGGACTGCTGCATTCACGGGGCAGATAATCGTCTTTTAGATATCGCGAGCTACTGATGGTGTTTTAAAGCAAATTCTTTTAGTCGTGTGGACTTCATAAATTGGGAATCACTAAAACGTAGAAAATAAAACAAATATTTTAAAAAATACAGCAACAAGCTTTTAAATGCACTGACAATACGAACATAAAAAAAAATTTGCTTTCTTCCATAAAAGCTTTGGTTGCTAAAAAATGTAGATCGCATGAGCGACCAAAGATTCCCCCCCCCCCCCCCCTGTCCTAGTTTTTCTTTGGACAGCAGAAGTTCAGGTACGCCGCGGCGAATTTCCTGCTCATGGTGACGTAGATGACGATGTTGATGGAGGCGCTGAACTGGTACATGATGTGGTTGATGCTCTGAAGGAGGTAGATCAGGTTGTCTTGTGAGAACAGGTTGATATCAGCGTATGCCTTGTACATGTCGACGATGGCCGTAGGCAGGAACACGATCAGCGCCACCAAACACACGGTGAGTAGCATTTTACCCGCTCTCCTGTCCTTCACCTTCTTTCTTCCTTGACCTGACGACGAGAGGGTCAGCTGCTTGGAATGACCAACGGTCAGTTTGATGGTTATGACAACGGAGCAGATAAGTATTGTAAACAATGTTACCATGGTGAAAGAAATGTTCAGAACAAAACCTCCGTATATGTTAACGACATTATAATTATCATTGTAAAAATTGCTGTTGATAAGCGCAGCGGTGGTCCGATTTTGAAAAGGGTCGAATACCCATTCATACTCGAACCGGAACGACATAGGTGACGTCATCCCGAGCGTGTAAACGTACACGAACACGACGACGCATTTCACACGGAAAGGCGTGAACATTCGAGACACGTGAAACGGGAATAAAACCGCGAAAAACCGCTCCACTGCGATGGCGGTATTGATGCTGATGCTTAGCGCGACCCAGATGTCGGTGCTGGGTATGTAGACTGTCACGAATGTGTCCACGGTGTTGGAGAGTGACACGTCGAACTTTGACACGATACACTTGAGGCCGTGAATCGGCTGGATGATGGAGAACATGAGGTCGCTGACCGACAGACTGACCAAGAAAATATCGCTGGTTTCCTTGAAGCCGCGGCTGGTCAGTACCAGAATGTTGAGGGCGTTGCCGACGATCCCCAGAAAACTGAGGAGGTGGATGAGAAAACAGTTGAGGAAGACGTCCAACTGTTGCATCAGCTGGTCAGATATGATGATGTTGTCTTCAGGTGAAACAGCAACATTGGTGCTGCTTTCGTCCATCTTGGCATCCTTTGTAAATAAGTCTGAACTTTGGCGTTTGACTTTTTTTTTGGATAGTGTTTAAAGTATTTTATAGCTGTTCACTATTTGTAACATTGGCATTTATGATACATTAATGACACGGCATAAAATGACATATCTCACAGCAGACATTTATGACACAAATATACAATGATGTATGTCATACTATATAAACAGTGACACTAGCGTACCTAACTCTGATGTGTGCGTTATGACGTGAAGAAAACTAAATGGCTTATGATTGGCCACAGGGAAGTCACGTGCCTAGTGTACCCAGTCGCACTAGTTATACGGATTCAAGACATCAGGATGTGACTAAAATTATTGAAAAAAATAATTATCAAATTAAAAAAAAACAACTAAAATTGCCACGCAAATAAGCGTATCATTTACCGCTACGCCCCACTTTTTTTTCAATCACTTTAACGATCAACAAATTCACTGTACCCAAGTAATGTGCTTAATTAACTTTACTAGATTCGAACGTCGATCTTCGGTTGTTATATTTTTTTCCACGGGTAAATTATCACCGTTTATCTTGTCTCATGTCGTAGTTTGCGTTTGTCTGACTGGTTGCCGAGTGGGGTACATAACGACCTTGTGACTTTTTAAAAAATCATATTAATTTTCAGATTGATTTGTTGACTGCTAATTGGTTCAATCGAATACAGCTGTTAAAAAGACCCATCATTGTAAAGGGTGGTGGAGGAGGGGGGGGGGAATTATAAATTCTAGATCAACATGTTAAACATAAAACTTTACTGGAAACTGACTGTTGGTGCACAAAGGATTTGAATTTTAAAGAGAGGAGCCAAACTAAAAATATATTTTCTTATACAGGAGCCGCACTGAATATATAATTTTGTTCTAGTTGGGCCGACTGAATATTTTATTATAAAAGAGCTGTACTGAATATATTTTTTGTTATAGAGGAAACCACGCGATATTGATTAAAACAGAAATGAGCACAAAGAATACGTTAATTTACGAACGACTCTGTTGTACCATAATATTGTGGTATCTTTTAAATTGTCTCATTGTTGTGACAGAATATGAACCTTTAACTATGTCGTTAGCGCTAGATCAAGATCTAGAATTAGTAGTGTTAGTATCGCCATGTGTTTTTTGCTTTGTTTACATTCTGATGAATGGTCAAAGACAGCCTAAGAATGATGATTGAAATGAATCATTTACACATTATGTTAGAAATTGTGTGGTCATCGCCTGAAGAAAACCACGCAGGTGGAAAGGTATATATTAATTTATTCGTGTACGGATATTATACGTTAACAATATTTATGTAACAGATTCTATAGTAAGTTGTAAAAAAATTCTTATTAAAAAACAACAATAGGACATGTTCAGCCCTTTTTACTTTCTCGTATATACGAAGTATAGAGAAAGTCTTGTAATCGTGCAAAAAAAAAAAATCGAGATTTTTACAAATCTCGACGTTTCACACCTCACTGATACGGAAAAACATAATTTTGCAATCTTGTCCGTATGTCTGTGTGTCTGTCTGTGTGTCTGTGTGTCTGTGTGTCTGTCTGTCCGTGTGTAAACACGATAACTTGAGAACCGTTACAGCTAGGTTGATGAAATTTCATATATAAGTATTTTATCAAAATCGTAGATCCGTATCAACTTTTGAGCGATTTCCGATAACCGGAAGTGGTACTTTTCCTACTTTGAATTTTTCAAAAGCCTATAACTTGAGTACTATTTCAGATAGATAAATGAAATTTCATATGTAAGTAAAAGATCTAATTCTCTACCTTCTATCAAATTTTGAGTCATTTCCGTTGACTGGAAGTAGTACTTTACGCTACTTCCGATTTCTCAAAAAACTAATGTAAATTTTAAAAGTAATAATATTGCGCACCATTATGCGCTTTTTTATTTGGCGTTCACTTGGTGTGCAATTAATTTGTCTACGAGATTTTATTCTATTTTTAAAACTTTAAGTATTTAAAATGGATTAAAAATCATGTCTATAGCCCGAGTTCCCATCCCCTGTTATTTTATATAAGAATATTCGAGAAAGTTTAGGGGAGATCACTCCCGGTTTATTAGAATTCTGTTTTGTTACACATTCGTTTAAATGAAATTACAGTCATTGAAATAAATATATGAGGTTGGGTTCGACACAAGGATGTCATATTAGCCAACGGTTTGTTCAGACGTCGCCTATTGTTCTAGTTCTGTGTCCACATCCATGTGTGCTACCCTGGTGTGAGGGGGGTGATAGTCCATATTCGCTACCCTAGGGTGGGTGATAGTCCATAGTCGCTACCCTAGGGTGAGGTGGGTGATAGTCCATATTCGCTACCCTGGGATGAGGTGGGTGATAGTCCATATTCGCTACCCTGGGATGAGGTGGGTGATAGTCCATATTCGCTACCCTGGGATGAGGTGGGTGATAGTCCATATTCGCTACCCTGGGGTGGGTGGGGCTGATAGTCCATATTCGCTACCCTGGGATGAGGTGGGTGATAGTCCATATTCGATACCCTGGGGTGGGTGGGGCTGATTGTCCATATTCGCAACCCCGGGGAGAGGTGGGTGATAGTCCATATTCGCTACCCCGGGGAGAGGTGGGTGATAGTCCATATTCGCTACCCTGGGGTGAGGTGGGTGATAGTCCATATTCGCTACCCTGGGGTGAGGTGGGTGATAGTCCATATTCGCTACCCTGGGGTGAGGTGGGTGATAGTCCATATTCGCTACCCCGGGGTGAGGTGGGTGATAGTCCATATTCGCTACCCCGGGGAGAGGTGGGTGATAGTCCATATTCGCTACCCTGGGGTGAGGTGGGTGATAGTCCATATTCGCTACCCTGGGGTGGGTGGGGCTGATAGTCCATATCCGCTACCCTGGGGTGAGGGGGGGGGGGGGTGATATTCCATATTCGCTACCCTGGGGTGAGGTGTGTGATAGTCCATATTCGCTACCCTGGGGTGGGTGGGGCTGATAGTCCATATCCGCTACCCTGGGGTGAGGGGGGGTGGTGATATTCCATATTCGCTACCCTGGGGTGAGGTGTGTGATATTCCATATTCGCTATCCTGGGGTGAGGTGAGTGATAGTCCATATTCGCTACCCTGGGGTGAATGATAGTCCATATTCGCTACCCTGGGGTGAATGATAGTCCATATTCGCTACCCTGGGGTGGGTGATAGTCCATATTCGCTACCCTGGGGTGGGTGGGGGTGATAGTCCATATTCGCTACCCTGGGGTGAGGTGGGTGATAGTCCATATTCGCT